AAAAGCACAAATGCAGAACCATCCCCCAGAACCCTACACTCTTCCCTCCTCCCACCTCTCTTCTCTTTGCCACCCCGAACTTCATAAGTGGAAAAACCCAGGGCACAGAGGGCTGAAGGGACTAAGGGACTTTGAAGGTGGAAGCCCCTCCTGACTCCAGGCAGAGGCTACCACCGGGCGCCCCCTCCTGGCCCAGCCCTGTAAGAGTGTGCGGGGCCGCGGCGGCGCGCGGGGTGGGCACGCGCCTGATGTAACCATGGCACCCTCTTGGCACGCGCGGCCCGCGCGCGGGGAGGGCGGGGCGGGCGCGTTGCCATGGCGCCGGCCGGCCTCCTGAATGCTGCATTGTTCACCGCGGCGCCCCGGTTGGGCTGTCCCGGACCCACCCGGACCCACCCGGGGTTGGCAGAGATGGAGAGAAGGAAAGACACCAGAGATGAAGTGAAACGAATAGGGAAGACAGTGATAGAGGGAGAAATGCGGAGATGAAGATAGGAGGAGGTGGACAGAGACATAAGACTTAGGTCTGGGAGACCCGGAAAGAGAAGGAGGAGTGGGAGAAATAGGTTTTACACTTGTAAATCCTACAGAGACAGCCAAAGCTCATGAGTTCCAGGCCAATGTCAGTTACACCGGGAGACTCTCTCAGGCTGGGAGGGGGTCGGTGGTGAGTAGCAGAGGAGGTGGCTCAGATGTCAGAATGCAATCATGAGGGCCAAGTTTGGCTCCCTAAAACCCATGTCAAAAACCAGGCAGGCATGGGAGCACAGGCCTGTAAGCCTGGGGAGGCAGAGGCAGGCAGGTTCCAGGGGACTGTGGCCATCTAGCCAGATTCAGCAAAAGACCCTGTGTCTAAAAAATAAGGTGGGTTTGGTGGTGAGCACCGTTAATCCCAGAACGGGCAAGCAAAACTCTGTGAATTCCAGGCCAGCCTGGTCAACATAGGGAGTTTCAGGCCAGACAAGGGTACATCCAGTCTGAGAAGGAAAAGAGCAGGGAAACTTGAGGACAATTGAAGTTAACCTCTAACCCCCCAACACACACACACAAGCTCAAGTGCACACACTCGCTCACATAAGTGCACACACATTCATGTGTATGCTTGAGAAAGGGGCAGGAGGAAGAGACATGCATGCAGGAACATTTAGAATCCAAGAGGAAGTGATGGGGAGATGGAGTGACATCCTGGAGAGAGAGAAAGACAGGAGGAAGGGTAGGGGGAGGCCAAGCAAAAGCAGAGCCAGTGAGGAAGATGAAAAACATGATTGAACAGGAGAACACCAAGACTCAAGGGCACTGAGCCTTCACTGCACTCCTTGATGTGCCCCTGGCAAGGATGCGACCACAATTTAAAGAATCTGGGTTCAGAGAGACCGGTGGGTCTGCTCATGGCTCGACAGACGAAGGACCAGATGTATGCAGACACGGGGAATGTCCCAAGAGAGGCCTAGAGATTCACGTCTGATCCTCGCTTCAAGTTTCTAGTCCTCACTGCTGTGTCCTGTCTCCACTAGCTCAACTTGACACTCCCAGAATGTCTGCCTTGTCCTGCTAATAAGGCATCATTCACACAGAGACACAGCCTTCCAATACTGTCCTAACACTCCAGAAAGCCCTCCCCCAGGGACACACTACCGTCCTCGCAGTGCTTACCGGCACACCCGTGGCAACACTTGACATAATCAGAGACACACACGACAGGGACTGGAACTGCACATCGGTATTACCTCAGAGGCTCAGTCAGAGAGCATGTTGAACTTCATTGCAATTATCCAATGATCAGATAAAAGCACACGCCTTGTGGCCAAGGGATGGTGACACGCATTCTAATCCCAGGACTCTGGAGGCTGAAGCAGATCTCTGTGATTTTGAGGCCAGCCTGGTCTATATAGTGAGTTCAAAGACAGGGCTACATAGAGGAGATTCTGTCTCAAGAAAAAAAATTATCTTCACAGGTTACAGGGACTGCTGTCACAAGAGCCACCCATCTCCCTCAGATCTTCAGCATCTTACAACCTGTCCAAGAGACACTTTTGTAGGGCTGTTTGGGCACTGGGCTCACATTTTGGTGGTAGGAGATGAAAGGCATGAATCTTCACATGAGATTTGAGGTGAAAGGGGAGAATAAGGAAGCTGCTCCCCAGTCTTCCTCAAAAAGTTGGGTCATGCCAGTCCTTGTGGCCCCACAACTAGGGCAGTCTAGCCCAAATCTAGAACAAGGGCGGCCCCTGGTGGTCAAATGTTGTCTATACACTGATATTTAGGGGTTGTGATTGAAGGCTTAATTATAGAACCCCAGGCAGAGACAGGTCCAGGATGAGCACACAGAGATAACAGCCCAGACCCAGAACTCAGCCTATGTAACCCATGTCCTAGAATTCATAGTCAAAGTCGAGGTTCTAGGGGGCAGGGGTGAGGTTCAGCATTAAAGCACCTGCTTTGAATCCTCTAATGAGACTCTGGGGGCAGGGCAGAGCGGTAAAGCTTTTATCACTATAGTATGTGCAGGTTCCATCTCCAGAATCAGAAAGAAGGAAAGACTCTAGACCCAGTGATGCTGACATGTAGAAAACCAGATCAAAGAATGCAGGACCCAGAATCTAAAACCTAGATTCTTGTTCTAGAACTCAGTCTAAAAGTCTGGCAGATCTGCCAGGCAGGGGTGGTGCACTCCTTTAATCCCAGCACTCGGGAGGCAGAGGCAGAGGCAGGCAGATCTCTGTGAGTTTGAGGACAGCCTCGTCTACAGTGAGGGTTTCAGGACAGCCAGGGAAGTTACACAGAGACACCCTGTCTCCGAAAAAAAAAAAAATTCTAGATCCCATTGTTCAGAACTGGAATCTTGAACTGAGAATACAGTTCCAAGAACAGAGAAACCAAAAACAGGACTGTGATCTTCAGAGCCCTGGGTCTTTGTCAGAACTCTCTGGATTAGAGCTGGGCTGTGGAGGGCGGGAACAGGCTGATGGGGCTGCAGAGAATCTGGGGTGAATGTCCATAGCCCCTGCCAGCTGCTGTTTTACACACACACACACACACACACACACACACACACACACACAGCCTATAACTGTAGGGGCTACAGTACTACATGCTCTCTGGTGCACATCCACAATCACACACACTCCACACATTCACACCTAACACTCATCGTCTCTGTCATTCCTCTTTCAGCATACCCACATCCATGCTTACCTAGAAACCCATAGTGACATATCCATCTTCTCCCACCCTACCATACCTTCAGATACACAGTCACCATTCAGAAACAAACCCCAAGACTCCCCAGTCCTGTGCCCAGTCACACTAGGAGAGAATAGCTAAGGAAGCTAGGATAGGTGTGTGTATACTCATATTGTGTGAGTGCGCGCGCGCGCGCACACACACACACACACACATACACACAGTGCAGAGAAGCTTCATGCCTTGGCAGCTACACAACCCCTGGGAACCAGACCCCAGGGATGGGGCTCACCATGCACCCCCTTACCTACCCCAGCCCTCCCCTGCCTGGCCGGCTGGCGGGCTTTAATACAGATGCCAAACTCATAATTGTAACTGAGGGTGACAGGGTCACCTTGAGCCCCAGATGCTCGCACGATGACAGATGGCGTTGGCAAACCTGATTAGCAGCCCCCGGTGCCAGAGCCTGTGGCACCTGCCTCCCCGCCCCTCCCCCTCGCTCCCCCAGCACTCATTACCCACCCATTACTGGGCCTGGGGGGCAGCAGCAGAGGCCGACTGGCACTGCCTGGGAGGGCTCAGTGACTCTGGGCCCCCCCTGGCACCAAGGTTCCCAGCTGGCTCTCCAAGCTGGCAGGAGGTGGGCACAGCTGAGGTGGAGGGGTGCAGGCATCTTGTGCCCGCCAGGAAAGGGGTGCCAGGGCTGCGCTGCCAGCTCAGTCACTGCATGAGGCTTGCCACCAAGCTCTAGGGACAGGCAGGAGGGCGCCCCCACCCCCAGGGCTCCATGACCCTCCCTCTAGGACGCTCTTGGGAGCTGGCATCCAGGCAGGTTCCCACCCCTCTGTTCAGGCCTGTGAGGTCAGGGGTCGCAGCTCCCATCTGTTTCCTTGTGGGGGGCCCTCCTGTTCCCCTCACCTGGTGCCTTCCTTCCTGAGGCAGGAAGGAGGGGGGCGCTTGACCAGCTCCCTCCACCCTGCACTGGGGGTGGGGGCATTTGGAGGCAACCTTCCACATGTCTCTGAGTCTCTGCCAAACGGGCCCATCTGCCAGAGCCCTGGTTCCAGCCGCCCAAAGCTAGGCCGCCTGGCTGCTGCACACCCTGCCCCCTAGCTGAGAAAAGAGCCCCCCCACCCACCCAGGAACCCTAGTAAAAGAGACACACGCACAGCTGGACTTGGCCAACCTTTATGGTTCCCGTGGAATGCCAGGCTGGGCGTGGGGCTGCTGCCGGGACTAGGATGGGGCAATAAGGGAAACCCCAGCCACTGTCAATGAGAGAGGCAGCTGCTCACATTCGGGGTCGCCTCTGGTTGGGGCCAGGTTTTCCCAGCAGCTGCTTCCCGCTTGCCTGCCATGAGTTTTTGTTGTTGTTGTTGCTGCTGCTGCTGCTGTTTTTCTGGTGTCCCTAGAATGGGGTCATCTTTGCTGAGTGTCTGGGTTTGGGTGGTGCTGTCATCCTAGCAGTTAGTGTGTCTGGCTCGGACAGAGAGAGATGCAGTGCCACCTCGTGGACAACAGCGGAAACCCAGGCTGGGGGAGGGGGCTCAACCAGGAGCTGTGCTGCGCGTGCGTGAGCAAGGCCTGTGTCTCGAGGTCTCCCCTCAGTGATGAAGCCTCAGTGGCTTTAGTTTCCTCATCTGCAAAATGACCTCACCTGTGAAATCCTACCCAGTGGAACCACGGAGAGCTTATTCTTGAAGATGCTGTGAGTTAGCACTTGTGGAAGAAATATTCCCTCCATCACAGGGTCCTGTGAATCTCACACCTCAGCTAATTTTCACCTTTCTAGGGCTTCTTCATGCATGGTCAGTCAGTCCTCTCCCGCTGACTTACACCCCAGCCCACATGCTATGACTATTAGTGGTCTAAACCCACGACTGGCAGACCATGTCTTGTGTTCCAGGAGCAAGATGAGGGTCTTGTGGATCTGTCCATCTGTCCTTCCTACCCTGCTCTCTTGACCTGATGTACATCATTCAGGTCACGTCTTTCTACCACATCTTCTGCTTCTTCTCAAGGTTCATGCGCTGTGCAGTCGTCCTCGATGCTCAGCTCACAGCTTCGGACGGCACTGACACTTCTGCACCAGGGAGACCGACATCCTCACTCGCCGAGGGGAGGCTACATGGCCAGCTCTGCACCACAGCACCACCGATGTCCGGCGCTTTTGAGCGGGCACACAGCTGTTGCAGAGGACTACAGGGGTGAGATCCGAGCTGGGAATATAGAAGGAGGAACAGTGGCCGAAACAAAGATGATTAAGGACCCTGACGGCTGTGCAACCAGGCCTGGAAAGCACCTGCAAGCAAAAACAGGACAGTCAGCACTGTGCAGTTTTGGGCCAGAGGGATGAGAATAATTACTATCCACTTCTACCCCTGACATAAAGGCATGGACGCTGAAGGCAGGTGGCCTGTGTTTCAATTCTGATTCCTCCTTCTGGCTGTGTGGCCTGCACCAAGTTATCAACCTTTCTAATAATTTTTGTTGGATAAAATCTTCCAAATCAAGGGCTGGGGAGTTAGTAAAATGATATGGTGCAAGCATGAAGACCCGAGCTCAGATCCCCGGCACTCACATGAGATGGGACTCATGCCTGTAACATCAGCCCTGGGGCTGCAAGCCAGCCCAGCCCAGCTGAATTGACGATCTCCTGGATCAGTGAGAGTGCTTATCAGACAAGGCAGGAGGGAGCTGGAGAGGTGGCTCAGTGGTTAAGATCACTATTCTTCTAGAAGACCTGGGTCCAATTCCTAGCACCCACATGGCAACTCACAGCTTCTCCAGAGATCCAACTCCCTCCTCAGGGCCCCAGGCATGCATGTAGCAGACGGATGTACGTGCAGGCAAAACACCCATAAATTTTGTTAAAAATAAAGGAAAAGACACTGAACATCAACCTCTGTCCTTTAGACAATGAGTACCTCCACACACACTCCCATACAAAACTCGTCCAAATTAAATTCGAAAGCTGGGCCTGGTGATGCAACCATGTACATCACAGCCATTGGGGGGGGTGTCTCAAGATTGACGCCTATGTGGGAAAGTTATTGAGACTCTGGAGCTGGAGCTCAGTAGGAGAGCACTTGCCTAACACGCACAAGGCTCGGGTTCCGTTTCCAACACCACAGAAAAAGGAAAAGTCAAAGGGACAGCTAGAGATGACATCAGTTAAGAGCACTGGTTACTCTGTCCCCACAGGGTGGCTCACAATCACCCATAGCTCCATTTCTAGGGGGTCTAACACCTTTTCAAGTATCTACAGTCATTAGGGACCCACCTGACCCACCTGGTATACATAGTAACTGACAGTAACTGTAGGTCAGCAAGATAACTCAGTGAGCAAAGGCACTTCTGCCAAATATGATACAATAAAGGGACCAGTTCCCACCAGCTGCCCTCATGGGTACCCACAAAGTAAGTGTAATTACATTTTTTTGAGACAGGGTCCTACTATGTAACCCCAGCTATCTAGAACTTGCTGTGTAGATCAAGCTGGCCTGGAATTCCCAGAGAACCACCAGCTTATGCTTCCCAAGGGCTGGGTTTAAAGGTGTGTGCCACCATGCTCAGCATTGGAAAGAAAACTTTAAAAAGGAAAAGAAGAAACTACTTGAAACCTTTAAAATTTTTTGTTTGGCCAGGCATTAGTGGAGCATGCTTTTAGTCCCAGCATTTAGAAGGCAGAGGCAGGAGGATCTCTGTGAGTTCAAAGCCAGTCAGGTCTACAGAGTGAGTTCCAGGTCAGGCTCTAAAGCAATACAGAGAAACCCTGTCTTGAATAACCAAAAAAAAAAAAAAAGTTATTGAGATAGGTCTCATGTAAGCGTAAGCCCAGGCTGACCTCAAATTCACTATTTAGCAAAGGTTGGCCTTGAATTCACTATCCTTTTGCCTCAGCCTCCCAAGTGTTCCCTATACAAGTCCAAGGGCCTGGATTCCACTCCCAGAACTAGAGGGGAAAAAAAGAGACAATCCCTACTCCCCCCTCCCCTGCTAAACCCAGACTAGATGTTGTGTCTTACCTGTGATGCTGGGGCCAATGTTACTACATCCCTATTTCCAAATGAGGAAACTGAGGCTTAGAGGCTTAGAGCTGCCTGGGGCCACACAGTTGCAGGGAAAGCTGCCAACCTAAGTGTCTTGTGTCATGAGGGGCAGGTGCAGCTCTGGACTCAGCAGTGAGCTAGACTGAGTTTTGTTCTGCTAGGTGCAGCCTTGGCTGGGAGGCAGCTGATGCAGACGGTGGAGTGGGCATGGTAGTGTGTGTATAACCCCAGCACCCAGAAGCATGGGATCGCAAGTTCCAGGCCAGCCTGGACTATTTAGTGAAACCTATATTGAGAGGAGACAGATCAACCGGGTCTCCTGAATTCCAAGATTTGTTAGGCAAATACCAATCCAGGAGGTTTGGGAAATGGTTCCCTATTGAGCATGGCCAGATGCACTCTGCAGGAACCCAGGATTGTCACCTCTATGACATGGGAGTAAGGAAAGGTTAGAGAAGGCAAGCTACAGATTCCAACAATGAAGCAGGATTTGAACTCAGCACAGAATAAGAATCCCCAAAGCCCTTCTGGAACACCAACTGAATACAGATAGAGCATTTCTTGTTCATCTGCTTCACAGTCCAGAAAGGGATATGCTACTAGTCATTCATTCATTCATTCATTCATTCATTCATTCAACAATGTCCACTGTGTGTCTGGCCCTGTTGTAGGGCTTGGGGACAGGAATATCGGAAAGAACAAACTTAGATAACTTCTGCCCTGGAATGGAAATGTATCTCAATAGGTAGAGTACTTGCCTAGCATCCTTGAGGTCCTGGGCTCCACTTCCAAAACCACACAATCTGGGCTGTGGTGCAAACCAGCAATCCCAACCTTCAAGAGGCAGAGACAGGAAGCTTAAAGCCAGCCCTAAGCTCCCTAAGATCTGGGCTAAAACAACAAAACCTCTGCTCCAAGATGGATGTGGTGACTCACACCGATGGTCCCAGGAGAAGGATCACTGAGCTAGAGGACAGTCTTTGATGCATAGCAAAACCCACTCTAAACACACACACACACAGAGAGAGACAGAGAGAGACACAGAGAGAGAGAGAGAGAGAGAGAGAGAGAGAGAGAGAGAGCGAGAGAGAGCACCATGTGTCAGGAGTGAAGTGAGGAGAGGTCAAAGAATGTAGAACCTTGTGGGCTCTGAGAGCCTAGACTTGTTCAGAGAAAAGTGAGAGCCACGATGGTTTGGAGGGGAGCAAGGGACATGTATTTGTCAACTACGTCTTCCTGGCTGCTAATTAGGCAAATAGATTCAGCAGCTGGAGATGTGGCTCAGTTGGTACAGCTTTCCTCACATGCACACAATCCTAGGTCCCTTAAACCAAACGTGGTTGCACTGTATATCAGCACACATGAGGTGAGGTCAGAAGTGGGACCTAAAGATCCTACACAGAGGCCAGCCTGGGCTACAGGAACCCATGACTCAAAAAAAAAAAAAAAATGGAGAGGGGGAAGAAAATAGACCAGAGATGGAGATGAATGAATCTGAAGCCCATAGGCATTTAAATGGAAGATCCACGACTTGAGATTTGATTGAAAATCTGCCCAAGGCCACATAACCTGTGCTCTGTACAAAGCAGAGTGCCTGTCCTCACCACCACCCACCAACACTGACATCATCAACACGACCACTACAGACCCACCTGAGTAAAAGCCACAGCCTTACAAGTCTCCTGGAGCGCTTCTTGGGGAGCCAAGGGCAAAGACATGCCAGCAGCCACTCTCTGCCCTCCCTGCAGCCCACCTGTACCCTGCTGTTTGTCTTGCAGGCTCAGGAAGACCTTCCAGCTACCCAAGGCAGAGGCTGGTACCAGAGGATCCAGAATCCAGCTCTGATTGGCAGCAGCCCAGGCCTGAGCAGGGATAGATGGGGGTCCAGGCCTTCCTGAGCCTGTGGGTAGCCACACCCCACTGAGCAGACCCAGCAGCATGGTTAACTGGTCACGGAGCATCACTTAGTTGTGCTGTGGTCCGTCTGTCTTGAAGTGGGCTCAGGGTCCTCGGCAATGGACCCTGCTGTCTAGAGTGTGAGGCTGGGCCCTCAGAGATCTGCTTTTCACCACTATTGCTTCCTGGGCAGCCCAGGGGTGGTTCTGGGAGCTCCCAGCAGGGAAGGAAGGCAGGCTGACCTGGCCAATCCCACAGCTCCTCCCAGCCTGCTGGAAGTCCCAGTAGGGGCTGACCCTGCTCCATGGGGACCATGAGAATCAAGGAAGGCAGGTCTAGGGGACAGAGGCTCAGGGGTCTTTCTAATCCTGAGGCCCTCATTTAACCCCTTAGTGACATTACTCCCTTCAGTGGGACTTCAGGGTTTCCTGCAGTTTCCTGGCTGCACACCCTCATGCAAGGCGGTTAACCACTATGGGCTTCAGCTTCCTCTTCAGCAATACGATGCCTTGAACAGCCTCTACCTCAGAGGCTGTACTGAGGACTCAGAAGGACCTGGAAACAAGTGTTGGTGCACATTAGTCTCGTGAACCCATGATGCTTTTTCCTTCCCATTCTGAGGAGGGAACCCTATGGATGACAGTCAGGGAACCATGCCACACGCCTGTGTCCAAGCAGTTATGAAGTAGCATGACCGCTCCCGCTGTCTTATTGGGTGGGAAGGTGGAGACAGGACTTCCTTCTGGCCATATCATCTGCTTGCTCCACCTCATTCTCCTGAGTGCAGAGATTACAGGTACTGGCCACAACTCCCATGTCTGTCATCCCAGCACATAAAAGGCTGAGGCACGGAGATCAGGACAGCCTGGGCTAAACAGTGATGTTGTTTCAAAGAAAAAAAAAATAAAATAAATGGAATGAGCTTTAGTCCGGTATGGGTTTCTGCTCCCAGGGCGGTCAGGGGAGACACCCCCCCCCCAGAAGGTGACACTTGGTTGAAGAGAACCGAGAAGCTGGGAACAGAACGGTGGGAAGTACACAAAAGATGTGAGACTGCGCCCCAGGCTTTGGGGCCCTCGAAGTACCTGGGGGGTCCAGCCCTAGTGCCTGAGAGGAGTGCATCTCACACTCAGGTGAGGAAGGGCAAGGCCAGGCCGCTGGAGCGTGAGAAGCTGCGGCCTTGGTCTTTCCCGCGGCACGCTCGCCATCTGGCGGCGGATCCCGGGACTGCATGACTGCCGCGCCCGCCACCTTCCTCCAGGCGGCAATCCCCACCCCAAGCATCCTTTCTGCTGTCCTCCAGCCAAGGCCAGTTCCATTCTGCCAGAGACAGAAGCACCAAATATCGCGGCGGCCTCGACCGGTTCTCTGCCATCTCGCACATCTCATGCCACAGCGAGTCTGGTTTGCAGCGGGGTCTCTCCAGACACCACACACACACACACACACACACACACACACACACACACACACTTCTCACACCCACCCCTTCCTTCAGTTTGATGAGTGCACTCACCTCAACTTCCCACTTTGTCGCCCAGCACCCGAGGGCACTTCAGTCAGGTCAAGGCACTCTGCTCACAACCCTCCAAGATACCCATCTACTTCCTGGAGCATTCTAAAGACCTTCCCAAGCCCCACCGAATCCTGCACAGGGGACCTGATTATCTTCTCACCCTCGCCTAAGCACCCTTCTCCCTTTTCTCACTTTAGCCAGAGTTTCACAGCTGTTTCCAAACTTCCCAGACAGAGTCCCACAATACCTCATGGGCATGCAACGGTCTTCTGTACCCACAGATAGGGAATGCAAGGATTGAACCAACCCCAGTCTGAGGACTATGTCATCAGGCTATGGCTATCTAAACAATTTAAGTGTTTACACACAATGCCCAGCACATTAAGCCTTTTAGATCATCTCATGATGACTTATGGTAGGTTCTCTACAAATGCTGTGACATTTTATTTCAATGTATTTATTTTTTTAAAAAAGGGTTTCTTTATGTAGTCCTGGCTGTCCTAGAACTCATTATGTAGACCAGGCTGGCCTCGAACTCACAGAGATCATTGTGTTTCTGCCTCCTGAGTGCTAGGATTGAAGGATTGTGTTTCTACTCTGAACTTTACTATGCCGCCTATAAAAGAGGCTTGGGCATCTAGAGTAGCTAGCTATGCTCAAACTATGGGTTGAGAACCCTTTGGGAGGTTACATACCAGATATCCTGCATATCGGGTATTTAAATAATAATTCCTAACAGTGGCAAAATGTACTGTTATGAAGCAGCAACAAAATAACACTGATTGGGGTCACCACAACATGAGAAACTGGATTAAAGGGTGGAAGCATTAGGAAAGATGAGGATCACTGATCCACAGCTTTGGAGTCCATAAGGCACCCATGCCATACAGAGAGATACTAGAAGACTAGAGCAAGACTGAGCGTGCCAGAGAGATGACTGAGCACTTAAGAACTCTTGCAGAGGACCTCAGTTCACTTCCCAACACTCAAGTAACTACAGCTCCTGGGGACCCCACACCCTCTCTGAGCCTCCAGGGGCACAGTGCTCATGCAATACTCCTGTACACACATGCACACTCACATACTCATTCCAGATGCAGAACATCACCAGCGTCCAAACCCTCAACTGGCTTTCCTAGCATTGGTCAGGGTCAAAGGTCAAGCTCCCAAAGCATTGCTATTCTATTTCAAAATGCTCACAGCTCTTTTTTAGAAAATGTACGCTCACATGTTTTTACAGGATATTATGCCAAAATGCAGCATATTAACCAACGCCATGCTGTCACTTTAGACATGCTCCTATATTTGACTTTTACCAAAATCATGTTTATAGACATGCATCTGGTCTTCAATGTTCTGTAGTATGAGATAGACATTCAATAGAAACGAAACAGTTGTAGCGCTAAATATGTTCACTGCTCAATCACAGGCCTCCAACAGTAACAGAAAATCGAGGTATGCAGGCATCCTCGAAGGCCAGGGGGCCAGAAAAGGCCATTGCGCCCCTGGAACTGGAGTTACGAAATGTGGCCATGAGACTTTCTACATGGGTGCTGGAGACTGACTCTGGAAACATACCACACACTCTTAACTGATGGGCTATCTCTGTCGGTCATCTTTGTTTATTTTTGTGTGGTGTGTCTCCGTCACTGTGAATCACTGCAAGAACTACTATTCAAGAAATCAGTGAGATGAGTCTTTGTCTACACTGTGTTTATTTCCTGCTATACTACTATGGAAGGAGGGCTCACAGAAGCTTTCTTTCTTTCTTTTTTCTTTCTTTCTTTTTTTTTTAAATCATGTATTTGCTGGGCATGGTTGCAGAAACCTATAATCCCAGCTCTCAGGAGGCAGGTCTTTGAATTTGAGGCCAGCCTGGTCTATATAGTGAGTTCCATGGCATCCAGAGCTACACAGAGAAACCCCGTTTCAAAAAGCCAAAGCAAATAAACAAAACACTTGGCTTCTGCATGCACCTGCATGATACAAACACATGGGGCTGTGTGTACCACCCCACAGAAAATGCACATGCACTTACTCACACACTTCCTCACGCACTCACAACGCTGGAGAAATAGCTCAGTAGTTAGGGGCACTCCCTGCTCTTCCAGAGGGCCTGGGTTCAAATACCAGTATCCCCATGTCTATAACTTTTCAGGGGTACAATGTCACCTGCAGGCACCAGGTACAATATGTTATACACACATACATGCTGACAATGTACGCATACACATAAAAATATCTTTTTCAAAAAGATTTTATTTTGTACATCATGTTCTGTCTGCATATATGACTTTATGCCAGGAGAGGGATCCGATCTCACTATAGATGATTGTGAGAGTTGAACTCAGGACCTCTGGAAGAACAGCCAGTGCTCTCTCTCTCTCTCTCTCTCAATCTTTTTTTTTTTTTTTTTTTTTTTTTTTTTTTTGTTTTTTTTTTGTTTTTTGTTTTTTGTTTTTTTGTTTTTTGAGACAAGGTTTCTGTGTGTAGCTTTGTAGACCAGGCTGGCCTCAAAATCACAGAGACCTGCCTGCCTCTGCCTCCTGAGTGCTGGGATTAAAGGTGTGCACCACAACCACCCAGCTCGCAGCAAGTACTCTTAACCACTGAGCCATTTTTCTAGCTCCACATAAAAAATTTTTAAGTAAAATATAAATAAAAACAAATAGAGTTTTCACTCAAAGGAATTAAATATTTTAATTACACTATTTGTGTGTGTGTGTGTGTTTGTGTGTGGTTTTTCAAGACAGGGTTTCTCTGTATTGCTTTGGAGGCTGTCCTGGAACTAGCTCTGTAGACCAGGCGGGTCTTGAACTCAAAGTGACCTGCCTGACTCTGCCTCCCGAGTGCTGGGATTAAAAGCCACCAATGCCCAGCTTTTAATTACACTATTTAGTGATTGTTTATTATGTGGGAATTTTGATCATACTGTGACACTCCCCAGACTGTAAATAAAGTTTACCTTGAATCAGAGGGTGGAGCTAATGACTAGCCAACCAGAATTGGCCATAGAGAAGCCAGCAATTTGGATAGAGAAGACATGCAGGAAGGAAAGGGTGGGAACCTGAGTTTGATGCTTCTTTTTGGTTTTGGGACAAGTGAAGAGACACGTTTCTTGATGGATCTCCAGCCAACAAAAGTAAGGTCAGCTGGTTGCTTTTTGGCTTCTCTGAGCTAACAGGTTTTCACACCCACATTTGACTTCCAAGTCTTTGTTGGTAAATAGAATGATAAAGACTTAGTTTAAACCTACATATTGAGACCACAAGACCTAAAGGCCCTCCTGGCCAAGGCCTGAGTGGCCAGTGGGGCAATGGGTGAAGGACCATGGGGCTGAACACAATAATTAAAACATCAGTAGGTTCATGAGCAGTCACTAAACTGACAGAAAAACATCTATCTATCCTTCTATCTATCCATATGTAGATATATGTAAGAGATTGCTCAGAGGTTAAGAACAGTTACAGCTATTGCAGAGGACATAAGTTCAGTTCTCCACACTCATATGGCTGCTCACAAACAACTCTAACTACAGTTCCAGGGGATCTAATGTCCTCTTCTGGCTTCTGTTGGCTCCTGAATGAACTTAGTATACAAACACTCATGCAATCAAACACATGTACACATAGATTTTTTTTTAACCTTTAAAATTACAAAAATCAAAAAAAGGTGGGTATGATAGTTCATGCTTGTAATCCTAGCACTGGGGAGTCTGAGACAGCAGACCCATGGGTATCACTAACTCTCACTAGCCAGTCAGTCTAACCTACTTTGTGAGACCCAGGTCAATTAGAGGCCAAAACTGATATGGATGGTGCCTGAGGGACAACTCCCAAAGTTGATCTCACA